ATGAAGACAGCCTAAGAGACCTCTGGGACAATATTAAACACACGAACATTCTCATTATAGGGGTCCCAGAAGGAGAAGAGAGAAAAGGACCTGAGAAAATATTTGAACAGATAAAAGCTGAAAATTTCCCAAACATGGGAAAGGAAATAGTCAAATCCAGGAAGCACAGAGTCTCCCAGGAAGGATGAGCCCAAGGAGGAACACACCGAGACACACAGTAATCAAATTGACAAAAACTAAAAACAGATAAAATATTAAAAGAAACAAGGGAAAAATGACACATAACATACAAGGGAAGCCCCATCAGACAATCAGCTGATTTTGCAACAGAAACTCTACAAGCCAGAAGGGAATGGCATGATGTATTTAAAGTGATGAAAGGGAAAAACCTACAACCAAGAATACTCTACCCAGCAAGACTCTCCTTCAATTTGATGGAGAAATCAAAAGCTTTCCAGACAAGCAAAAATTAAGAGAACTGAGCACCACCAAACCAGCTTTACAACACATGCTAAAGGAACTTCTCTAGGCAGGAAACACAAGAAATGGAAAAGACCTACAGAAAACCCAAAACAATTAAGAAAATGGTAATAGGACCATATATATCAAAAATTACCTTAAATGTAAGTAGATTAAACACACCAACCAAAAGACATACAGACTGACTGGGTGGATGAAAACATGTGCATGTATGCACTTCCACTTAACACATCACTTTGCTTGACACTCTCCCCCCAAAGTACGGAATTATTTTCTATTATTAAGTTAATCATTCTCTCATTATGGCTTCCAATTATAATTTATCTTTTAATTTTTGTCTGGCTATTGATTGTGAAAACTGATAAACATCTTCCATTATGGTGATTATGTAACTACTGCTCACTTAATACCACTGCATCATGATTGGTCAACAGAAAAATAATACAATTGTATATCACCAAAACTAGGATGTAATAAAAAAAACAAAACCTGTAATCACTTTTGAAAATCCAGACGCATATCAGAATTACCTTGGAATTTTTTGAAAAATACAAATACTCAGGTACTGCTTTTTTTCTCCAGATATGTTTCTAATGAGCAGTCACGTTTAAAAACAACTGGACTATATGTACAAGGTTAGTTTTACTAACCTTTTATCTAGTTTGTTTCAATTTTTCTATTCTATATTCAGTGCTCCCATCTCATTTAGTTTATGTTCTCCAATTTCTCCATCTCTTCCTTTTTTATGTTCTTTCTCAAGGCTTCATCAAGGGCTGTAGAAAAGCTTTCATATACATATATATATAAATATGTATAATATATATTTTAGAAGCTTTAAGGATTTTTGCCTAACTAAAAAAACTGACATTTTGATTCCACTTGTTTGACTTAGTATGACTAGAATGCTAGATTTCTAATTAAAAAATAGATATGCAACAAGTAACACAGGTTTACTGTACAGCATAGGAACTACAATCAATATCTTGTAATAACCTATGATGGAAATATCAAAACTAATATTATGTGTCTTTGTATAACTGAATCACCTTGCTGTACATCTGAAATATTGTAAGTCAACTATACTTCAATAAAATATATATATATATATTTTAAAAATCAACTCCTGAAATATGCAGTAACATGTATGAACCTCAAAAGCATTAGGCTAAATGAAAGAGACTCAAAAGGAGTCACACTTGGAACCTTCCCTAGTGGTCTAGTCATTAAGAATCCACACTTCCACTGCAGGGGGCACAGGTTCAATCCCTGATCAGGGAACTAGGGCCTCACATGACACTCAGCACACCCAAAAGAAAAAAAAAAAGGAGGCATACTTAAATGATTCCATGTATATGACATTCTGGAAAAAAACACAACTATACAGGGACAGAAATTAGATCAGGCCGTCAGGGGCATTAGATGAAGGAAGAGAACCAACTGCAAAGGAACTGAAGGAACTTCTTGCAGCGATGGAAAACATATTATATCTTGATTGTGGTGGTGGCTACATGACTGAAACAGTCTGTCAAAATTCATAGACCTGTATACCCAAAAAGGATGAATTTTACTCTATGTAAAAAGTGAAGGTGTTTGTTAGTCACTCAGTCAAGTCTGACTCTCTGTGACCCCATGGGCTGTAGCCCACCTGGCTCCTCTGTCCATGGATTCTCCAGGCAAGAATTCCCTTCTCCAGGGGATCTTCCTAACGCAGGGACTGAATCAAAATTTTCAACACCTGTCCCAGACACTACCCTCCCCATAAAGCTATCCATTTTTTGCTCATTTCACAAATATTTCTTAAATGGCTAGAACGTGCCATCCCCTGTTCTGAACACTTAAGACACAACAGTAAACAAAACAAAAATCACTGCCCTCATAGAGCTATGCCCTAGCAGAGGGGTTGGGAGGGAAAGCAATGTATCATTTGTTGTTCTGTCTCTAAGTGTGTCTGAGTGTCTGTGACCCCATGAACTGCAGTACACCAGGCTTCCCTGTCCTTCACTATCTCCCAGAGTTTGCTCAAATCCATGACCATTGAGTTGGTGATGCAATCCAACCATCTCATCCTCTGCCACCCCCTTCTTTTGCCTTCAACCTTTCCCAGCATCAGGGTCGTAGATTTCCAATGAGTCAACTCTTCGTATCAGGTGACCAAAGGATTGGAGCTTCAGCAATAGTCCGTGTAATGAATATTCAGGACTGATTTCCTTTAGGATTGACTGGATTAATCTCCTTGCTGTCCAAGGGACTCTTAAGAGTCTTCTCCAGCATCACAGTTCAAAAGCATCAATTCTACAGTGCTCAGCCTACGTTATGGTCCAACTCGTACATCCAAACATGACTATTGGAAAAACTATAGCTTTGACTACACAGACCTTTTCCAGCATAGTGATGTCTCTGCTTTTTATTTATTTATTTTTTAATGTCTCTGCTTTTTAATACACTGTCTAGGTTTGTCACAGCTTTCCTTCGAAGGAGCAAGCATCTTTTAATTTCATGGCTGGCATTCACTGTCCACAGTGATTTTGGAGCACAAGAAAATAAAGTCTCTCACTATTTCCATTGTTTCCCCATCTATTTGCCATGAAGTGGTGGGACCGGAAGCCATGTTCTTAGTTTTTTGAACATAGAGTTTTAAGCCAGCTTTTTCAACCTCCTTTTTCGCCCTCATCAAGAGGTTCCTTAGTTCCTCTTCACTTTTTGCCATTAGAATGTTACCATCTGCATATCTGAGGTTGTTGGTGTTTCTCCTGGCAATCTTGATTCCAGCCTGTGATTCATCCAGCCCAACATTGAAAGTGAAAGTAGCTCAGTCGTGTCCAACTCTTTGTGATCCCTTGGACTGTAGCCTGCCAGGTTCCTCTTTCCATGGAATTCTCCAGCCCAGAATACTGGAGTGGGTAGCCATTCCCTTCTCCAGGGGATCGTCTCAACCCAGGGATCAAAACCAGGTCTCCCACGCTGCAGGCAGATTCTTTACAGTCTGAGCCACCAGGGAAGCCCCCAGCCCAGCACTGGTCATCTGAATACATCGTAAACATCCTGTATAACTCAATAATGTAGTCCATGTCACAGTCAAGTGTTTTGCAAATAAAAAAGAGCAGAGTAAGAGGAGCCCAGAGTGTAGGAAACGCAAGTTACAGAATGAAAAATCAAAGTCAGCTAACTGACATCATAAATTTTGAGCAGATTTAAAAGTGAAGAATATTTCAAGTAGAAGAAACAGCAAATGCAAAGGCCCTGAGTCTCAAACATGCCTGCTTGAAAACTAGCAAGGAGGTGAACAGAGTGATCAGGGAGAACAACAGTGGATGAGGCTGGACAAGTAATGGGGTCAGATGACATAGGGCCTTGTTTGGCTATCACTCTTGGACTGCAAGGAGAGCCAACCAGCAGATCCTAAAAGAAATCAGTCCTGAATATTCACTGGAAAGACTGATGCTAAGGATGAAACTCCAATACTTTGGCCACCTGATGCAAAGAACTGACTCACTGGAAAAGACCCTGATGCTGGTAAAGATTGAAGGCGGGAGGAGAGGGGGACGACAGAGGATGAGATGGTTGGATGACATCACCAACTCGATGAACATGAGTCTGAGTAAACTCCAGGAGTTAGTGATGGACAGGTAAACCTGGAGTGCTGCAGTCCATGGGGTCACAAAGAGTCGGACATGACTGAACGACTGAACTGAACTGAGTGAAACAGGGAGCCAAAGTAGGGTTTGGACAATAAATGATGATCTGACATATTCCTGAAGGACTCTTCAGGCTATTGTATTGAACTAGACTGCTGGAGGCAAAAGTACATACAGTTGAGGGTCTGATAGGATTAGGACTCCTTCTACAAAGATCCAGGGGAGAGATGATGATGGGAACAAGATGGCAGCAACAGGGGAGGCGGGGAGAAGTGTTCCAACTCTGCATGTACTTTGCAGGTAAGACCAAGAGGACTTCCTAGTAGACTGGATGTGGCATGTGAGAAAGGAAGAATAAAATTAACACCAAGGTTTTTGCCCTGAAAAACTGAAGGATGAAATTATCTTCATCAAAGACAGGGAAATCTGGAGGCGGAGCATATTACAAAGAGAAGAGAAGGGGTTTGGCTTTAGACATGTTCCATTTAAGATGTTTATCAGACACCCCAGTGAGGTTGAGTAGGTAGTTAGGTATTTGGCTCTTAAGTACAAAAAAAGAGAAGCGGGGCCAGGGTAAGGGCCGCCGGGCTGGGACAGGGGCAGGTGTTGGGGGGTCCAGGCAGTGGTGGGCGGCGGCCATGAGGAGGCAGTTTACCGAGTCCTCTGGGCGGAGAGCTCTCCTCTCTCCCCTGCCATGGAGGCCATGAGGGCACCGGGATATGAGCTGCAGTGGGTCAGGCGGACTGTTGTAACATAGCGATTGCTGCCCAAGGAGAACCCCAAGTTCAGTTCAAACTTGTTTTGGTTGGTGATGGTGGTACTGGAAAAACTACATTCGTGAAGCATCATCTGACTGGTGAATTTGAGAAGAAGTATGTAGCTATGTTGGGTGTTGAGGTCCACACCAACAGAGGACCTATTAAGTTCAGTGTATGGGGTGCAGCCGGTCAGGAGAAGTTTGTGGACTGAGAGATGGCTGTTATATACAAGCTCAGTGTGCCACTGTAATGTTTGACGGAACATCGACAGTTACTTACAAGAATGTGCCTAACGGGCACACACGAGTGTGTGAGAACATGCCAATTCTGTTGTGTGGCAACCAAGTGGATATTAAGGACAGAAAGGTTAAGGCAAAGTCAATTGTCTTCCACCAAAATAAGAATCTTCAGTACTATGACATTTCTGCCAAAAGTAACTACAACTTTGAAAAGCCCTTCCTCTGGCTTGCTAGAAGATTGACTGGAGACCCTAACTTGGAATTTGTCGCCATGCCTGCTCTTGCCCCGCCAGAGGTGGTCACGGACCCAGCCTTGGCAGCACAGTACGAGCATGATTTAGAGGTTGCTCAGACAACTGCTCTCCCGGATGAAGATGATGACCTGTGAGAAGGTGAAGCTGGGGCCCAGGGTCAGAAGTCTACTTTTATAGGCAACTGTCCTGTGATGTCAGTGGTGTAGCGTGTTTGCCACTTTATTATATAGCTAAGCAGAACATGTGCTTATTAATCTTTGGATGCTGAAGGAGATGGAGGGGCTCTGGAGTGAATGTGGCAGTTTAATTAAAAAAACCTTCATTTTTTTGGACCTGCATATTTAGGTGTTTTGGAACACAGTTGTTTCCTCCTTGAGTTTCAAATATAAGACTGCTATAGTCACATATTGAGAGGTGGAATCTTGTTTGTGACTGTCATTCTCATTCCTTTTCGTTTAGAATCAGAATAAAGTTGTATTTCAAATATCAAAAAAAAAAAAAAAAGATTTCAGAGATAACATGAAAGCCAGTGTAGGAGAGTATTAAAAGATAGAAGTACTGATACAATCCCCAGGGGAAACTCCTATTCTAAAAAGTAGGGAGAAAGAAGAAAATAATAAAAGAAACTGAGAAGGACTGACCAATAAAATGGGGTGGGGGGGGAGGGAGGTATGAACGTGTGGTATTCTGGAAGCCAAAAGTAAAAAAAGTGTACCAAAGAGCAATGAGTGATCATCTGAGTCAAATGCTATTTATAGGTCAAACACAATGATGACTAACAACGTACTTTGAATTCTGGTACTTTTATGTTATCGACGACAACCTTGTCAAAGGCAGCTTCAGCCAAGAAGGAGGGGAAAAGCTTAACTGAATCAAGCTGGCTTAAGTGAGAATAAAATGGAGAAACTGTAACCCTCATACATTGCTGGTGGGAATGTAAAATGCAGTCCTTTTGGAAAACGTTCTGACAGCTCCTCAAAATGTTAAACATAAGGTTATCAAATGACCAGCAATTCTCCTCCAAGGTATGCACCCAAGAGAACTGAAAGCATATTCTCACAAAACCTGAACATAAATGTTCTGATCAGCATATTTCTTAAGAGCCAAAAAGTGGAAACAACCCAAATGTCCAAAACCTGAAAGATTAACAAAACGTGGAACTCACCCACGGAATGGAATGTTATTCAGTCATAAAAAGGAATGCTGTATTACAACATGGTAAACCTTGAGACAGGCTAAGTAAAAGAAGACAGACACAAAAAGTCACATATTGTTAGGTTCCCTTTATGTGAAATTTCCAGAAGAGGAAGATCCACAGAGACATAGGCAGATTCCAAGAGAACAAGCAGAGCTACAGACTGAGGAACAGAGTGAGTGACTGCAAAGTGATAGAGGGTTTTTTATGGGATGATGAAAATGTTCTGTAGACAGTGGTGATAGATGCACAACTCTGAATATACTTTTTAAATAAACCACTGAACTGTACACTTAATGGTGGTGAATTTTATAGTATATGAATTATATCTCAATAAAAGAACAACAGAAGAGAGAGAATCAGTTCAGTTCAGTTGCTCAGTCATGTCCAACTCTTTTACAACCCCATGGACTGCTGCACCCCAGGATTCCCTGTCCATCACCAACTCCCAGAGTTTACTCAAACTCACGTCCATTGAGTTGGTGATACCATCCAACCATCTCATCCTCTGTCATCCCCTTCTCCTCCTGCCCTCAATCTTTCCCAGCATCAGGGTCTTTTCAAGTGAGTCAGCTCTTTGCATCAGGTGGCCAAAGTATTGGAGTTTCAGCTTCAGCATCAGTCCTTCCAATGAACACCCAGGACTGATCTCCTTCAGGATGGACTGGTTGGATCTCCTTGCAGTCCAAGGGACTCTCAAGAGTCTTCTCCAACACCACCGTTCAAAGAGCATCAATTCTTCTGCACTCAGCTTTCTTTATAGTCCAACTCTCACATCCATACATGACTACTGGAAAAACCATAACTTTGACTTGACAGACCTTTGTTGGCAAAGTAATGTCTCTGCTATTTAACATGCTGTCTAGGTTGGTCATAACTTTTCTTCCAAAGAGTAAGCATCTTTTTATTTCAAGACTGCAGTAACCATCTGCAGTGACTTTGGAGCCCAAAAAAATTAAGTCTGCCAATGTTTCCCCATCCATCTGCCATGGAGTGATGGGACTGGATGTCCTGATCTTTGTTTTCTGAATGTTGAGCTTTAAGCCAACTTTTTTACTCTCCTCTTTCACTTTCATCAAGAGGCTCTTTAGTTCTTCTTCACTTTCTGCCTGCCGTAAGTGTGGTGTCATCTGCATATCTGAGGTTATTGGTATTTCTCCTGGCAGTCTTGATTCCAGCTTGTGCTTCTTCCAGCCCAGCGTTTCTCATGATGTACTCTGCACATAAGTTAAATAAGCATGGTGGCAATAAACAGCCTTGACGTACTCCTTTTCCTATTTGGAACCAGTCTGTTGTTCCAGACTGAGCAAGAATGGGAGGAAAGAAATCAGAAACAACTGAACAGACAACTTTCTAGAAGTTCTGCTACAAAGGAGAGCAAATATATAGGACAGTACATGGCAATGAAGGTAGGGCCAAGAAAAAGTGTTTTTTAAACTGGGGGTATTTGAAATAACATGCTTTATAAACTGACGAATGACCTAATAGACAGTAAAAGAGTGATGTAGGGAACTGGCTGGCGGTGGTGATTCTTGGAGCAATATCCTTGAGTAGTTCAAAGGGGGTGGTATTTGGCATACAACTAAAAATGCACAGATAGTTCATCCATGTTAACAGGAGTAAAGGCAGAATGCACAGGCATAGAGTGCTTCAGTCTTCCTAGTGAAGTAGGAAGTTTCTTAGGAAGCAAGGTCATCAGTTGAATGGGACAGAAGATGTTATTCCTTTAAAGAGAAAGGTGATGGTAAAAAAGAGCTGAATAGAAGAGTGATAGAACCAACACACTAGGTACATATATAACTGCCTGGCAGTATTAAGGACCCTCTGAGGTTCAAGGGCATGAACTTACGATCAGTCAGCATAGCTGTGGGAGTGTGTGTGTGCACACATATGTACACACATGCATCTTCCAGCTATGTTCAGATGCACAGGTACATAGTAGAAGAGTCAACTTAACCAGGATTACAAATTTTGCCAAGTGAGTATGATAAAGCAAGAAGGGCATGGTAATTGAGGGTAGATGAAGAGGAGTTTGTAAAATGACTGGCTACGGAATTTACACTGGGTAAGGAAGGAAATGAGAATGTCAAGAAGGGAAAAGACAATGAAAAAGTGGTAAGATCATGGGCCTGAGGTCCACAGAAAACAAAATCACTAGAGGAAGAGAGTTCAAGGAACTAGAGGCCGGTGAGTGAAAAGAATCATCTATGGGTTAGGTCATACCTAAATGCTCAAACCCAAGAAATCATTCCAGTTTCTGAACAGTAAAGAAATTCTTATAATTATCAAATAATTTTGCATCCTGTTGCCCTTTATATGCCATCCAAAATGGAACTACTGGCACGCCTGGTGCAAGTCCCATACATTTTTATCTATTTATTTAGTAACTTACATAAATTTACCCCTGGCATATTTCAGGTACTAATAAATACTTAGTGATGGATACAGGACCCTGATGAGTTACAAAGCTATGTAGTGAAGGAAAGAAAAGACAAACGAGTGAGCAACTGTCCTTACCATATCACATGTATCAGAGACAATTTCTCAGCACTTACAGCTGTCTGCCTTTCAGACTACATCACACAAACAATTCATTTACCAATCATTGTCCTTCATATTTACTATTCAAAGACACTGCAGCCGATGAGGCAATTTTCTATGTTTGGCTGCAAAGCCTATATATTATTAATAATTAAAATTAGAGAAGACACAGCCATTTCATCAAAGGAAATCTGTTTTAAAATTGTTTTAACTAAAACAGCTTGCATCTTCCACATATTTTTCTTTAGGAACACACATACATTGTTAATTTTAACCAAATACATTCTTTTTTAACTTCAGGTAATAATGAGGGGAAAGCACAAGGCTTAAGAATTATGTCCTGGAACTTCCCTGGTGGTCCAGTGGTTAAGACTCCACGCTTCCACTACTGGGGGCCCAGGGTCCATCCCTGGTCAAGGAACTAAGATTCTGCATGTTGCACAGTGCAGCCCCCTCAAAAAAAAAGATTCCCCCCCACCAAATATAAACTTATTTTGAATTCTAAAGCAATTACAAAATCCTCTCTGCTCAACTCTATCTCTTCATCACAGAATGTAGGAAATGAGCAGTTTTCCTGAAACCAAGCGGTTCTCATCTCTGCATTAGAGTAAGAAGCACAGGAAGCTCTGTAAGCTAGACCTTGTGCCCTCATACCACCAAGGACCAATTTAATTGGTCTGGGGTGGATGTAGGTTACCAATAATTTTTTTTTTTAACTCTCCAGAAAATCCTAACATACAAACAGGAAAGCAAACTACAGACCTAATCTAATTCTTTCATCGGCAGCCCATACTTCAAATTTCAAGTCCAACTTACTGCCTTCTACATATCTCCATCTGGAAGGTTGTATGCACACCCCAAACACAAATGTCCCAACCTAAAGTCAGCATGTTTTCCCCAAAGCATTTTTTTGTGTGTTTTTGTTCTATAACATTTCAGATTATGAAATATAAATTACATGCACAAAAATGCATAAAACATATAAGTACAATTTAACAGTCCTAAAAAAGTACACCTGTGATTATCAGCCAGATTAAGAAATACACAACTAAAAAAAAAAAAAAGAAATACACAACTAACAGCAAGCACCTCAGTATCCTAGATATCTTATCTTGGCTGGTATCCCAACTCATCCAGCCACCATCAGAACAGGGGTCATCATCATAAGATTCCTCCTTCTCCCAATCTTCAATAAATCCCAAGTCCTGAAGATTTTACTGCCTAAATATCTCTCCTGTTCTTTTTCACTGCCATTTTCTTAGTCCAGGCTCTCATGAGTTTGAACTTGCCTCCAGTTTAACCAATGAAATGATACCTTAAAATAAATCTGATTGCTACCTACTCTTCCTGGCTTCCCATATCTTAGCAAGATAAGATTCTCCTCTGAACTGGCCCTGATCTATATCTAAATATCTAGCTACCTACCTACCTATTTCTCTCCCTCTCACTTTCCCATCCCTATGGAACTTGCCCCACTTCAAAAATTATACTGCAAATATACTAACGTGCTTACAATTTCCTAAACACACTATGCCATTTCCTATCTTTCTACCTGTTTTTCTGCAGCACACATCCTCCTTTCCCACTGCTGAACTTGAATTTATCTTTCAGACCCAACCCAGCCACCAATTTCTTCAGGAAGTGGTCTCTGACCACCACTCTATCCCTAAATAGTGATTCATTCTCCCTCTATGCTATTTCTGTACCCTGTTCTTGTCTATAGAATCATTTATTACACTCATACTTAGAAACAATTTTCAGTGGTAGCCTCCTTTCAACAGCCCCACACCTGCTCCAGGAATTGTCCTTTCTCCATCCACAAAGGCAGGTTTCCAACAGGAGATCCAAACTTCAAAACCTGCCCTCAAGCATAGCTGAACCAGCCTGGGCCAATCAGACTCCAGCCTGGGCCAATCAGACTCTCCCTCCCAGGAACCTGGAATTCAAATTAAAATAGAAAACTGGTGTCTCTGTGTTGCTGAGAACTATTAGTTTTAAAGGAAAGGCTATGGGACGTCCCTACTGGCTAAGACTCCACAACACAAGGGGCCAGAGTTTGATGCCTGCTCAGGGAACTAGATTCCACATGCTGTGATGAAGACTCAGCACCGCCAAACAAATAAATATTCTTTAAAAAGATAGAAAGAAACGTTACGGAAGCAGCCATATTCTAACCACAGGTACTAAAAAGAAGACAAAGCAAATCTTCAAAGAGAAAAGAAAGAATAGATGGGCAGAGTAAAACAAAGGTAAGATGAGACAATCCTATGGGCCTTCCAGTTATTCCTAGAAGCCGCTCTGATTCCTTCCTGTTCTTGAGTTTTAAAAGCAAGACCTATATACTGAGATCCAGGCAAGAATACTTGAGTGGGTTGCCATTTCCTTCTCCAGGAGATCTTCCCAACCCAGGGATGAAACCCGGGTCTCCCGCATTGTAGACAGACGCTTTACCATCTGAGTCACCAGGGAAGTCCAGATTTCTATTACTTGCAACGAAAAGGTCCAAGTAATACTGGATTAACTTTCTTACACATTATCTCTATTAGCACCCTGAAGGCAGAGGCTGTCTCTTCTATTTGCCAGACTAAGACAGGCCCTGGAAATGTCAAGTGCTCATTAATTAATATCATCCATGGCAGACTTAAGAGCTGTGCATTTTTCCACATGTAAATTTTAATTTTTAAAAAGTGTAACAAGTCTGAACTCCAGCTAATTATAATTAACAAGTATGTCAGTGTTTAGAAATAAACTATAAGAATGTCCGCTATTTATTTTGTAATACATCAAAAAAAAAAGATTGATAGATGGATAATGGGATAAAGAGATGGATAAACATGATTAAGTAAATAAAAGAAAATGTTAATTGCTGGGGGTAAGCTAATTGTAGAATATGTAGGTGTTCACTGTATAATTCTTTCAAATCTTTTGCATGTTTAAACTTTAATAATAAAGTGCTTAGAGAAAAATGTACCAGCAATACATATGCAATGGTTTATATGGACATGGTCCACACACATATTTACATAACTGACTGCACTACCCTCTAAAGGAAACTCCAAAGGGCTTTACCAGACACACTAGATAACTCAGTGACTTCCTTCCACTGATTAAGAAATTTTAAAACTGCTTTGTCCGTCTTTCCAGTTCACATGCAGTTAGGCACAATTAAAATGTAAAACTAAATACTTCTAATTTCATACTTCTAAACTCCTTTAAAACTAGTTTTAGAAAACATAATAAAGTTAGATGGGGAAAATTCAAATCATGACAAAAGAGCTGGCAACTTTATACTGTAAACCTCCCCTTGACAAGACAGAAACATACACTAGGAGAATAAGAAGATAAGAATCACAAAATCACAAACTGCTGAAACTGGTCAAAAAGACCAACACAAGATTCTTATTTGTCAAAAAGAAAATTAAGATCCAAAGAGGTGATATATCTTGCCTGATGATGATGTGAAAGTTGTTCAGTCGTGTCCAACTCTTCGTGACCCCATAGAATATACAATCCATGGAATTCTCCAGGCCAGAATACTGGAATGGGTAGCTGTTCCCTTCTTCAGGGGATCTTCCCTACCCAGGGGTTGAACCCAGGTCTCCCACTTTGCAGGCAGATTCTTTAATAAGCTAAACCACCGGGGAAGCATCATCTTGCCTGAGGTCACCAACAACTTTTTAGGAAGGCTCAGACTCAAACCCTGGGCTCATGACTAAAGTCCAGTGCTCTTTCCATCCTCTCCTGTAGTTCTATATCTCTCTTTTTTTTGTAAAAGTAATATTACATAGGGCTTCCCTGATAATTCAGTGGTAAAGAATCCACCTACCAAGGTAGGAGATGCAGGTTTAATCCCTAGGTCACAAAGATC